GTCGTAATACATATTACAGTGTATTATTATTATGATACGATGTTCACGGGCGATACGCATCTAATAAGCTTACGTGTCCCGAAAGGATTTGACACGGCCTATATGTATACAACAACGGTCCCGTATTCATATCATAATATTCCGTATAATGTCGACTATGATATTATAGAACAGTCATCATATATTGTGTACAGTGTGATTCGTTAGAACGCTCACCCAATTTTTATGGTTCAATTTCGCATACATTCAAATTCCGATTTTTGGAATTCATATAAGCGTTTAATTAAAGCCGATATTTTCAAATGCACAACATTTAAAGAGTATCCTGTGGCGGTACCAATTTTGGTCTTTCAAATGAGAACATACGTAATGCAAATTGTAAAACGTGACGATTTTTTTGAAATTTTTTACGGATAAGAACAACAATTTTAAAAAGCACCAATTTGGATGGCGGTACGGCTTGGTTTAGTATTTTTTCGTCCTATCTAAACTTAAAAGTGGAATATCTCGTCATCGGCTTGACGGATATCAAAAGTATCAACATCGTAATTTATTTAAACTAATACTCCAAAACTTCTTTTTCATACAAGATCTCATTCGAAAAACCCAAAGTTAATATCACCACGGGATACCCCTTAAATGGCTGTAAAAAACCCATGTATATGAAAATATCAGCTTTAACTACACGTACAAATCAGAATTTCAATGCGGTTTTGAAAAATTTAACCATGCAATTCGGACGCTTGATAATAATTAAACATGCTTAATAATCATTCTGTGTGCAAATAGTATAATTATATAATTAAAGTTACGCGGACTGTATAATAATATATTGTGACCGTATACGCAGGTCAATATTATAAATAAAATATTACATTGCTATACAGTTTCTCTACTTATTAGTACCTATACCATAGACCCATATCTCTTAACACCCCACCCCCTTATCCTTGATTTAAAGGACAAGACCTTACTATAAATCTATTATGATTTATTTTACTCGTCTTCGTCTCGGCCACGATCTGCTTCCGACCTATTAATTTAGGCTTTCTCTCAATTCTTCACCTTTCTGTACCCTTCACACTAATGAAGTTGTCTGCGATATTTATCATATTCTTTTCTACTGCCGTTCTCTAACGCTTAAACGTACCAACTCTTTTTCTGCTCTTACTCTCTACGGACATTTATTTCTAGACATTAAACTTCTTCTCAACTCCCGCTTCATCTCGATAATTACTTTAATTATAAACTTCATCTTAAACGCCGATAACAAATACATCTAAAATAACGAATTGCAATTTTATCGCCGTACTGTATTATCTTGCGATTAAGGAAAAAACAAATGTATTATTTATAATAGATAAACCGAAAATTTGATCATTTGAATATATCGTTTCTCCCGGGCCTAAAACAGTGGGTCACCTGCAAATAAAAAAATGTTGGCACCGAGTTTTATAACTTATAGTTTCAATACAGTTACCTGTATGTTATTAGTTAAGTTTAGTTAGTAGCGAAAAACCGATAACAATTTGGAAACATAAAACGATAAACGAAAAAAAAACCCCAAAAATATCACACAAACTAAACATATCATTGAACAAAAATTAAATAACATCGTTTAATATAAACTAAAGCCCAGATTTCAATGCAAAATGCATTTTGTTGTAATCTAGTTTTTGGCTTTCTTATTCGATTCATATAGGTAACAAATAAATCAAACATGCATTTTTTATTTTTTACACTTTTCGCTGTTTTTCCGTTTTAAGATCAATTTTTTTTTTTTTTTTTTGAAATTTAATCTTTTTTAAGCGGATATTTATATGCATTTTATGCGAATTAATAGTTAGTTTAAATTTAGGTAATGCAGAATATTATTTCTGTTTTAATGAAATTTGCTATAGCAGGTGTACGGTATCAATACAGATTGTCAATCGTTAAACTTACAAATACGTTTTTATTTTATCTCTATCAACAGCTGTGATGCGTTAATCACAGGGGTGGACTGGCCCGTCGGGACGCCGGGAAATTTCCCGGCCAGTGCTTATATGAGGCAACGTGGCCAGTGATCGTTGTCAACAAAATCAAATAAAACATTAATTTAAAAAGTCAAAAGGAAATTTTTAACACGTTTGTTTAAAATGTATTTTGTATTATTATTAAGTTTAATAGTTATTATCGATACTTTCACAATATCGTGTTCATACATAATATTATTCTGGCGGACACGTGGTCGGGAAATTATGTTCACTGACAATTAACATATTATTAAAAAAAAAAAAAAAAGAATCTGTTGTTTACCTTATCAGTTTACGTTCGTGCAGTTCTATGGAATCGGAATTTCGATAAGAGTTAATTAAAATTGATCAATTCTCCGGGAAATCCTTCGGTTCGTTATTACGAAATAATTACCCCTTTTAGAGGACAATATACTATTATTATCGAAATATCGGAATTTTCCTTTTTATTAATAATGTTGTTTATTGCGAGAAATATCCGATCGGGCGTCTGAAAATAGATTTTTCCCGGCGAAACTCGTCGACGGTGGCCGGAGGTCGACGAATCCCGGGCTCGAAAGGCGTACGTTACGTGGAATAACTCGGCCTGTGTTTTCGCGTGTCCCGTCGTCACGCTTCGTTTCGGTAATAATGTCACATAATATTGAAAACGTCGGTTTCTGAGAATCGATTATTGATTTTAATCGTAATACTATGTACCTCGATCACCGTGTCTAAAAACTGATTTTCCAGAACACACCGCAAAACATCGTATTTCGAGGACAAACGAATAGATTAAATATTATTATTGACTGCGGTAGTGTAGCTGATTCGACGTGTCCGTAACTCGGGTATAAAAATCTATGGTATCGGGTCTGTTAACGGAAACGTTTTTTCAGGATCGTATTTTAGATTATATAGGTAAACGATAATCGATCAGCTGATCGAGTGTTTATCACTGATGTCTGATCCCTGTTGCGTACTGATCGTTGATGATACATGTACAAAAACACTACACCGCGGTTTACATTTTGAGGGAAAATTCTAAATTTCAGACCAGTTTGCGCCGGCGAATTGGTCAATATTTGTTTTTCTATTTAGTTTTTCCTCTGAGAGTTTTATTCTTCAATACACATTTTGTGAAAGAGAAAGTTTTAGATTCCGGCCGAATACGTGCTCCATATAGTAACCGCTATGAATAATCTTTCACCGAAGTGACCGGCTGTGCCGTTTTGCCCGATTTTTTTTGTCAGTAACAAAAATAACATTTAAAATCTGTACGACAGATACAATACAAGGCGAATAGGAACTGAGAACGAGAAAGACACGGGACACAATGATTAAAGAAGCTATGCAGTGGGAACTTACCTCCGTATAATATGTGCATATTATGCTGCAGTGTTCTGCATTGGCCGATGTATAACAACACAGAGGAAATGGGCAATCACATTCCGGTATGTACACGAAGACAATTTTTTCATAGACAAACGTCCACTACGGTGTCGTGTATACGAGGAGATTTGAAATTACATAACTAATCGTGTAATTCGGGTACGAGTTCATTAATCTGCGTACGTGTTAAATAATAACAGTGATATTGTAAACACGCGTGTTATTAATTCATTATTTTTGCTGCCATAGAGAGTATGCAATTCGATTGTACGCGACCACGAAAAAGCATAATATTATTATGTAAAGCGAAGAGGTCCATATCATTGACGCACGTATTTCGTTATCCGCTTGCGGACGTACAGTGTAGACCATAGAGTGCTTAGCGAATAAATTGGCATTCTGATTAAACTTCTGTAATGAATTTTATTTACATTTCCGTTATCCGACCCTCACGCGCGGGTATATTTTTACCCTTAAACCGAATTACGTCATGTTTTGAATACGTGCATCCACGTGGTTGTGCAAACAGTACCCACTGGACCCTGAAACGAGGACAGTGTTTTCGTTGTACAGTGCATGAAGATACGCGTATTCTACCGAGGTAAACGATGAGTACCGTAAGAAAAAAAAAAGCATCATGCATTATATTATTATTGTTATGTATACATTATCATTCGACTGGCGTACTCACTATGTATAATATAATAATGTTATGCGCACATATACCCGGAAACTGCATGCAAATCTTCCGGTCAATTCACGGCAACGGAGACGTAAAAACTAATGACGGTAACAATTTAAAAAAAAAAATAATAAAAAAAAAAAATGCTATACCTACAACTGCTGATGGGTAAGCCACTGTTTTAGATGGAAAGCTGGGAGGGAGAATATGATAAAGAATAATTTAGTTTATATTTTACGCAATGATTGCTAATGAAAAACCTATTCTGAGCATAGTATTATAAGTTATATTTTATCGCACCTTGCCAATGTGACCCAGAAATCAGAAAAAAGCCCAGTTTTCATAATTTAATGTACAGATAAAGAGATTTTTAATTGTTCATATTTTCCAAACTAAAACAATAATTGTGATTATGTGTATTATTAAAACTACTTTAAATGCATTTTTTTTTTTTTTTTGCAATATTCAAGTTTTTATCCTAATAAATGAGCATCAGAACACCGTCATTAGAGCTAAATATTCTCCCAACTGACTGATTGCCGTTACATTATTTTATGATTTAGATTTTGGGTAAAGCGAGAGATCTGTTGGTTTAACTATGATGCGTATTTATTTTTCTATCTGTATAAAACTTAACTCCTAGAAATCTTGCTCCAGTTAAAACATAATAAGAAACCTCTTTCATTGCATTTTGATTCTAGTTGATACTATAAAAATGGTATTTTTAAAAATTCTCCTTAATTTTCGAGAAAATAAGGAAAAATTGGTTCTTTGGGTTAAAAAAGATTGAAAATGAAAAATAAGGTTTTCATTGGCGACCGTTTTTAATTATTAAGTTTTTAATATTGTAAATTCTTAAATTTCTTTTTTAAACAGTCGTTATTGTCGTGAAAACGCAGTTTTAAAAATCAGTGCTATTGATCGAGTTCTGCTCAAAAACGTTTTTCCTCAACATATCCCGTCCTTCTAGTATCAGCTTGTTTTATTTTTTTACACATATATACTTTATAATGATACGGAACTGTTGTATATAATAAATATAAAATAATAAAGTGAAAACAAAATTATTAAAATAGTTAATACTCGTACATAAATATATATATAAAAAAAAAAAAAATGTATGTATAGAAATAAAAATAAATTAATGAATGCGTCGCCTGGAGTATTTTAATAACTGATACAATTATTATACGGCCTGTTTCGAATTAAAAATTCATTATCAGGTATATCACGGTCAAAATGTAAAACGCTACTGAATATAAAAAATTTAATGATGGAATTACATAGAACAAAATATTCAAATTGATCGTTTTACATAGAAATAATTTACTTTAAATAAAGAAAAATAATTGTAATAATATTTTAAATGTACAGTTTATAGTTAACAGTAATAAATTTTATATAGGTAAGACAAATAGAAATTTTAAAATAAGATATAAAGAACACATTTCTGAAATAAAATTAAAAAAATACTGCCCTAATTCAAATTTTGTTAAACATGTTTCAGAAAATAACCATAATATAAGCTTCGGTATAAATACAGATTCAGGGATATTAAATACCCGAAAAAACATATTTTAGCCTATCGGTTTATTATAAACAAACATTAAACTGCTATCCATAGAGTAAATAAAAAAAGTTAAAAATGCATTTGTACAATAAATGCGTTTATTTTAAATCGTAATGAAAACTAACCAAGTATGACATTTCGTTATGATTTACTATGTAATAGCATTCATAATCAAAACAAATATACATCAAGATGTTGGTATTGTAAAATCGTATAATGCAATACGGCCAAGTATATATTTTTACAAGTTTCTAGTGTTTATATACATTTAAAAAATACGTGTCTAAAAAATAAATATATACAGGCAAATATACAAAAATTCTCGTCTTATAGAAATTAAAAGAATACAATGTTAAAAACTTATATAACTAATAATGAAAAAAATAAAAACTAATCTAATTAATAAACTAATACTAAACTAAACTAGTATAACTAATAATAAATTAATATACATTTAAAATATTCGATTCGAATGGTTAAAAATATTTCTTTAAAACATTTCAAAATGGTTTCACTTACAAACTAAAATAATACAATGTTAAATCTAATATAACTAATAATAAAAACCTAATATAAACTAATATACATTAAAAATAATCGGTTCGAATGGTTAAAAATATTTCTATAAAACATTTAAAAAGGATTCACTTACAAACTAAAAAAATACAATGTTAAATCTAATGTTACTAATAATAAAAAACTAATAACTAATCTAACTAAACTAAACTAGTATAACTAAAAAAAACTAATATAAACTAATATACATTTAAAATATTCGATTCAATAAGTTAAAAATATCTCTATAAAACATTTAAAATGGTTTCACTTACAAACTAAAATAATACAATGTTAAAACTAACTTAACTAATAATAAAAAACTAATAACTAATATCTAACTAAACTAAACTATTATAAATGATAAAAAACTAATATAAGTTTAAAATATTTCTATATAACATTTAAAATGGTTTCACTTACAAACTAAAATAATACAATGATAAANCTTCGGTGCCATTGTTTTCGCTATACGCACAATGGCTTCGCCGCCCCCGTTCTCTTCACACATGGACGAGAGGCTGTACACTTCCCGACCTAGGTATTCAGGGCCTCCCCACGGGGGCGACGTGACCACTACATCCCCCGTTTGAACCGTCGTCCCGCCGAAATAGTCGTTTTCTCGGAACTCTATCCGGTCTTGGCACCGATATATATCGGCATTGTGCCTGGCCAATTTCAGTTTTATCGGATCAATATCCATTGCTATGACTGCGCGGAGAAACGAAAAAAATACATATTAAATCATACAGTCATACGGTTAATATTATAAATTAATAATTACATACCCTTCCGACAAGTAGCGGCCAGCTGAATGACGTTGCCGCCGGCCCCGCAGAACGGGTCCACTGCAACACCGTCCGGGAACCTGCATCGGTTCGCGATATGCTTCCCCAACACCTCTGGGCATACAGAGTAAAAACTCTCTGTGCAACGATAAACGTAAAACAAATATTAAATCAAGTAAAACGAACGGAGACGAAACACGATAACGATTATATTATAGAGAACGCGAGTGAATTATAGGTATATATATACCGTGATCCAAAAGTATGCCACAGTCGAAACGTTGGAATAGCAATTTTCTCATCAGCCAGTACTTCTTAACGCGATCGAGTTCGTGGGCGGTGGTCTTATCGTGAAAAAAAAAACGATTGTCGTTAAACACGGTCTGTCGCAATTTCGTGAAAATCCGCGCGATTTTGCAAAATAATTGTCAACGCGAGATTAAAACGTAAACGAATACAATAATTATCAAAGAAGGTTATATTTCATCAAGATATAATATCACATTTCTGTATTACCTCGGTTTGGTCACAGCAAAATGACTTTACGCGAATAGCGTAATCTTCCGCCTCTTTCCTGTTGTACGCCGTTCTCTTCACTGGAATAATAAACACTTATTAGAAATTGATTTTTATTAACCTAATGGTGATTTATTTATATTTTAAAGGCGTAAAGGAAAAATGCGATGTCTTGATTACATACTTACTGTTATATTACGAGAATATTGTGTAAAAATAGATGAAAAAAAGAAACAAAAATCCACACGAACAACTCTAAAACTACGATATGATTCATTGTACAATAACTTCGTATTATAAGTAACTACACGTTAAGTACACATTACAGTATGCTATTGTAAAACTACACATTTTTCCATGAAAAACAATTAGATATGTAATTTTACATACCGTTGGTTTTCAAATAGTTTTTAATTGTATTGACGGTTAAAGGTGGAGCGGATTGCTGAAACAAAATACAACGATTTTAAACAATTAATTATTTTATTATTTATATAATACACTGGCTATCCCAAACGATAAATATCGATTTTTTTCCCGGAAGCCATTCGAAAATGGTTTTTTTCGGCAATCATAAGTTTTCAATAATTTTTCCACACACAATAATAATATTATTGAATTTAAGAAAATGATTACGAAAAAACAACAAAACAATAATAGTGTGATTTTTCAGGATAGTTTAGGTGCATTAATTAAAAATATAATTAAATATATAGAAATTTATAACACACCTTTTCCTCGCGTATTTTAAGCATAGCTTTCTCTTCGATTAACTCCTGAAAATACAAATATAATAAAATAATATAGGTATCGACCGAACAAACAATAATAGCGTGATATTTAAAGACAATTTAGGTAAAATAATTATCCATAAAGAAATTTGGTACACACCTTTTCTTTACGAATTCTCTCATTTATGGTCTTTTCGATTATTCTAAACGCCTGAAAACACACATTTAATAATATTATATTGGTAGATAAACATTAGTAACATAGGTATTAATTTTTTTATCATACTTCATTTAAACTTCTGTATTGCATACGTTCCCCAATGTCACGTTTCAATCCTTCAATAAAATTTAAAATTAAAATATACAATGTTGATTTAGAATTATTGTTTTTTAAAATATTTAAAATCTCTTTCATAGCGGGTTCCCAATAGTCTTGATCGTTTCTAAAAAAAACGCAAAAATATATTTGATTTAGTTTTTTATGAAATAAAATAAATTAATAATTTATAAAAAATCATTTACAAGACGAGGCCGCTTTTTAGAAGTGATACGAAAAGTTGGCCCGCAATGGTCATATCCTTTTCGTCCTTTACATTCGTACTTAAATTAGTTAACAGATGTTTTAACGTGTACTCGTACATAGCCTAGAAAATTATAATCAATTTTTATTATTTGATTACAAAATCATGGTCTTACTGTCTCTGAGATACAACGAATAACGATAATATTACCTGTCCCAATTTGAGTTTGAAAATCATGAACATTAAATACTCAATGACTTTTTCGGCGTCTACGATCCTCCGTACCGCCAAGTCGTACAAACGCTCGTAGCACGATATCGCGTCGATCGATATCGTACTACGTTCTTGGTTAGCAGTTGTATTTCCAACACGGTGGTTGGCGGCAGAAGCCCGCTTTGGCACTTCTGCACCTTTGGTGGTGCATGAGAGTGATGACGACACCTGGGGCGAGCACCGTCCCCCAGCCGCCGGCTCTGAGGTTTCCGAGGCCTCTGACGCAGTAACGTTTATTTGTGTTGTGTTGTACTTCATGTTTTGATTTTTAAGGCAAATTCTAGCCTGCATTTTATACCTACTGCCAGGTGCACTTGTTCGCGACCGCTTATTCCGCCCAATTCCAATCCTTGGGTCATAGGCGTATATCGCGGCTACCCTGCATATCTGCAGGGCATTCCCCTATCCACAAATGTGGGGACGCGCCCGATGGCATGTGCAATGCGCACGGGTTAAAATCGAGTCCTGCAAGCCAGCGTCGCCTTGCTTTGGACATTGGACGCCCGCAGTCTTGTTGAAAATCTGCGCAGTCACTGCCTGAAACATTAAACACGAACAAATCACTAAACCAACGCCACTGGTCGTATAATAATGCGTTTGCGTTGAAACGTATAAGAATACTTCACATATAACATTACCGTTTACGTTGGTAATAATTTTTCGAATAAAACATTAGTGTTCGATAAATAGAGAAAAAACTAATTATTATCGTTGATAATGATGCCGCTCTGTTACCGAATGAGACTATTTTGAAAACGATTTCCGTCGGTCGAGTGTCGCGTTTACATTTTCCTTCCCGTGGCAACCGTAGCGTACCGGCTGGTATTGTTATTATTACAATATTGTTTCGGCCTACTGCAGGTTACTAACAAATCGAGAATTATTTATTTACTTTTTTTCTGTATTGTTGACAAAGCATCACTATTTACTATTAACCACACTTCGCTTACAATCGTTCTTCGTTATCAATGGTTAATGGCTGCATACAGATTAAGATTAAATTACTCTCTGTATCCCATCTTCTCAACTTCTCACCAGCTATACCCATCATTCGATGTATATCCGTCGTTTTTTCTGAAAATAATTTTTGCTCTGATTTTCAGACGGAGCATCTTTTCAGGAAACAAATTGTATCCATACGGTATAATTAGACGGTCATTTTTCATTGCAGTTTTCATAATAATCAGAAAAAAACTATACAGGAAACATGAACACATTTAGGGCAAACCTAACCTAACTTAACGACTTCATTAATTTAGATATTTTTCTATTTTGTTTTTTTTCCCGAAATCTCACTCGGAATTTTAAGTGTTGCCTAATTTCTGGAAAGCAATATTGTCTAGGTTTTGTAAATTGCGAGTAATAACTAGGGTATTTGATGAATTGCATTAACTGACTATATCTGTATAACTATATTATAAGCTTCGTATAATTTAAATAATATTAAAAGATATTTTTTTTTCGAATTGTCCTTTTAAACGCGAATCTAATAGATTCAAATATGGTCTCGACTTGCTTATCAGCTAATCGACTGTCGTTCGGACACACGCCCGCATTAAGCCTAACATACGATTAGTTTGATACGAAGGTGCCTGCTAAAACGTACAATCAGCGGATCGCCATGGGTGATGGGGTGGTTTAACCGTAAATAATTCGATGTTATTTACTAAATGTTATACTCTTAGTGGGTCCGAAATATTTTTCGCAATTCCGGTAGAGTATATAATACTACATTGTAATTGAAGATCTGAGAGCGACAAGACAACTCCAATTAATAAAACTGTTCAGGAGACAGTTAAAACTTTCTCGCGGTGTCTCGTTATTGCATTAAAATAAAAACCAGACATCTCTTATTTATAGGATATTTATAACGCGTTAGTTCATTTATTTATTTTTATTTCTGAATATACATTTTGTATTTAAATATTTATTGAATATGAAAAAGTTTCATCGAAATGCGTAAATCAATCCCGAACGCGGAATGCGTTCGTTACGAAAAAAAAAAGGAACGATACACGGGAGTGCATCTAGAGGACAAATGCATACGTAAATGCATTTGTTGGTTCCGTGTTACAAACACACGCACACGCAGACTACACATAATTCGGTTAGTTTTGGTTTTAGAGTATAAAAGCACCCGTTGCGTTTTTTTGAAAAAATTGTATTTTTTTTTTTTTTAAAAAAGTTTTAGCGAATTGAAACAAAACGTTGATAAAGTCTTTATTTACAAACGGTAAATCGACAGTGGTACTCGGAGAAAACGGCGAATACGAATCGTCTCGCTTCCCCTCCCCTCCCCTCCCACCGGTAATATCGTTCCCGTTTTTACTGTGAAACCAAAAATCGAACGGGTTCCCGCGCGGTCTGCGCAACCGCGTGTTAACCGTTCGTATCCGTTTCCACCGTTTGCAAGACGGGAACAACGAGCGCACGCGTGCACCGTCGTTCCGGAGTACTTTCAGCGCGGACGCGAACGGATTGTTATTGTTCACGAGAGGAATTTTTCGGACGCCGCACTTTTCCCGGTCGGCACGTCCTGCAGGTACGGCCGGACGATTTCGTACGCGTCCGGGCCGGCCGGTTCCGCCGACCCCGTGCCGCACGTTGTTATCTCCGTCGGTATCGCGATACGCGATCGGCGGGACGCGCACCGTCGTCGGTCCCACCCCGTCCCGCCGCGGCGTACGGCGCTCGCCGGACCGAAAGCCGCCGTCGTAACCGTAACCGCGTGCGTGCGCGCACAATATTGTGACGATCGCCGCTACCTGCAGCGCTGCCGCGCGCCACACGTGCGGACGGCCCGCAACAATAATACTTTGCCCGGACCGGTCGGCTACATTATTATTATTATTATTCGCCCCGCACGAAAACGATATAATAATAATACAACGTACGGACACACGATAATACTCGAAGAGCGATCGGTGCGGCGCGCGCGCGCGCGCGAACATTATTATACACGGGCGTATAATAATGCCCGTGCCCACGGTGTCCCATTGTAATATTCGAATTATCTCGTGAGCGGGAACACCGTCGTCGTCGGGGATACCGCGGAGTCCGGTGACAGGTACAGAGACGGATGAGACGGAGTGCCCGGCGCCGGTGGTCGTCACTGTCGCCGGAGGCCCGTCAAACCGAAGATACCGATCCGGCGGCGGCGGCGGCGGCGGCGGCGACCCCGGAGACCCACCGCGGTCACACACGCCCGGTATGTTATTTACCGTCGCGCACAACAGTACCGACGACGACGACGACAATATTATTGTGTACGACGGCGGAACGGTACGAGTACGGCGTCCCGGTCCGCCGCGCGCGACACGGAGTGTTTTTCGCCCGTAAACAATGTGATCGTTTCAACACGAGGAGCCGTTCCCGCGCGGCCGCGTGATTTCTGGTATTCATATTGCACGCGGGGGGGGAGAGGGGGTACCGCCTATAACGCGCCCGTCGCGCGCAATTATCGTCGCGTTATTCGCACCGTCCATCAATATCGTCGTCGTTGTTGTCGTTGTTGTTATTGCCGTTGTTATTGCCGTTGTTACGCCGCCGTATTTTCGGAACGCGTGTCGCGGCTGTTTAAGTCGAGATCGCGCCCCCGGCTGCGGGGCTACAGGGCCAGAAACACGCGTAACGCGCGACCGTCTATAGGTAATAAACGAACGGACCGGCCATCCCTAAAACAACAATCGCAAACGACGCGATGTTCCCGGAGGGGCGGTAAACCGGGGCGGTTTACCGTTGATCCGTTATGCGCAGATAAAACGCCTAGCTTTATGAGACGCTGTGCAACTGCGGCCCGTCCATCTTGAAACGCCGGTAAGGCATCCGCGGTCTGTTCGCGTCTTAACATATTTTGTCGGTTATCAACGTCTTCTCCGAAAACGGCAATTGACCGGACGTGTCGAGCCGTTGTCCGAAAATGACGAGAATTCGGTAAAGCGTTAACACACAACACACGTAGTATAGTAAATCCTGCCCGGTGCGGTTTCGCACATGACAAATCGCGGTTTATTTTCGATCGATTTCCTCCGTTATTTCGGGGCGAACGATTTTCTGACGGTGTACAGTATCAACTGTTTAAATATTATAAATTTAAATGCGTACACAAAGGTCACGCGTTCGGACAGTTATCATTTATCCTTACCGCGTTATGTTCTTAGACATTTCAGACGGCCGCCCTACTCATACCGCCCGGCGGAAGCACTGAATTTCCCCGCTCTTATTTTATTAGTCTGTTGCCTACAGTCTACGTAATATTAACCTCTATAAATTACTATTAGAATTGTATCGTTTTCAATATGCGTGCATTCTGGATTTCGCGCTCTCAGCCTAAATAATAAACTGTTTCCGATCCCTTAGCTGTACACCTTGCGTATCTATAGCACAGAAATACGGCGATAAAAATCACCGCTTTAGCTGCGTTTTCTTTACGTAAAATAATTTCAATATATTCGACGGTCAAATACACATGAGCAGTTTACAACCGGAATACGTTGTCATATACCTAGGTATTTAACCGTGATGGACACTATACCATTGTCCATTTCCGCAACGATTGTTTAGCGAGCCAGAGTCACTGGACGTTAATTCCCCTATTGGGGTGGAAAAGCCCTGACGGTTTTCCAATCGATACGACGGTATTAATATTGTGTTTGCCAACACGAAAAACCCAATGTGTTCGTGATATAAATTATGTTCTTGTAGCCAAGTGCAAGGGGGGGGGGTGANAATATTGTGTTTGCCAACACGAAAAACCCAATGTGTTCGTAATATATTATGTTCTTGTAGCCAAGTGCAAGGGGGGGGGTGACATTTCCATCGGTCACCCCTCTCCCTCTTTTATACTTAAAAGAGAATAAAAAATTAAATTAACTGATTACAATACAACCCGTATCGTGTTGATTCAATACGATACTATTGTCAATGCGTATGTATTATTCGCGTAGTAAACACACTCGCTTTTTCCTAATTTGTAAAAAAACGTCTAGGGGATGCGTCTATTTGCCTATCGTCCCGTAAAACATCGCCGCTCGTTAGTTTTATTAAAACGCGATATTCGATTCCGACTGATATTTTAGACGGTTTCGCGTTTTCGCGCATACAGATATCCACGGAGAGACCGTGCGTTGGTTCCGTCGCATTATAGAGCGTACTTGTTGTCGCCCCAAACGACACTTGCCCAAATTGAAACGAAGAGGGTATTCAGCTACCGCCCATTGAAATATTATTTACCATAAACGTAAAGAAACTGTGTTACC